TGCCCAGATTCGCTCTCCGAGATATTTGTTGAAGGGTTGTTTACAATAGTGGATCCTGGGTGCTCCAGCCTTAGAAGCTTCTTTGAGTTGTGCTCTTTCAGGAGATCACTGTCCTTACTGAAGGCTTCCTCTATGCTTTCGGCCTTTCTGGTGGCTATTCAGGATGGTTTCTGGTGCAAATGAAATTTGTTTGAATAAAACAAGTGAAGCATCATAGAAGGAAACGTGCTTTTACACGAGGTCTCCCACTGGGTGCAAATAGGTCAAAACTGAGACTTAATCAACCACGGCAGCATCAGCCCTAAAGTAGCCTTAAAGCTCAACAGCTGAAGGTCGGACCTCTCTGCAGCGGAAAATGTCATAAGCCATGGGGTCTGAGGGAATATGACTAATATCACCTTGGAGAGATTTTTTAAAAAAAAAAAACGTTACTAAAGAAATATGTGCCAGTGGAATTGTCAAAATGGGGTTTAAAAATACAGCTGTCTTTCCGCTTAATACATGGAAATGTTCTTCCATGGGAGCTGCTATTTTCGGCTGCACTATTGTGCTCTTGAGCCTCGTGAAGTAGAAGGATGAAGATTAATTTCCCACTGGAAATAAAGGCCCGGAGATGGTTTTAACTAAATGAACCATAATATTTTTTTAACGTTTTGTGTTAATCTAAATTCAAACAAATTAGGAGAGAGGGATTACCAGAGACAAATTGCAAATTCAACACCTGGATTTAAATCCTACAAAGGGGAAAATGTCTTGTCTAGGTAGGACTGGGGGAAGGCTGTAAGAAGGGATGTATGATGGGTGTTTAATTGAAGACTCTGTCGTCAAGGCCTCAGCAGCTCTTTGGGAGGGTGGTAGGTTGCTGCGGGTCTACCAGTGAGGGATGAAGGTTGGGGAGGCCTGTGCTCAGCAGCCTGGCCATCTTTTAACAGCCTGGAGGACTGTGGTAACCCAATGGGGTGCAGAAAATGAGAATTAAATGAGGAGCATTGTTAAATGGTTTCAGTGGCTGGAGGGTGAACAGGCTTGGGAAAGAGAAGGCAGGGCTGGAGGAGGGTATATGGCAAGATGTAGGGGAGGATGGAGGGGTGCTGGTACATGGAGGCAGTGGGAGAGGAAAGATGGATTGGGGGGAATGGACGTTAATGGTTTTTAACATTCAGGATTTAGCAGAGCTTAGAGCCACATAGACACTGAAAAAAAAGAGCAGCGACCCTGAATTTAACAAGCTAGATTTTTCAATATTAAACATGACAACCTGTAAGGAAAGCGGGAGCGGTGCCAGAGTAGTTTAACAACTTGTGCGGTGCGTCTCAGGAGCGTGGAAGCCTTTGCATAGCAGTTCAGCATCTTTTTACTGTGCGTGATGTTTCAGTCGTCTTCCTTGTGTACTTGTACTGATTCCTGCACTCTGATGCAAGGTTGAAGTAAGTAATATCTGTCAAAAATCACTACCAGAGTCACAGCACTTCCTTTCCTTGTCCATCAACACGCACCCCAGGGTCTGAGCTCTGGCATCAGCGGAGGGAAGTGCAAAGGGGGAAAAGCTGTAAGCTCAGATAGAGGGGTTTGGAGGAGGAGAGGAAAGCTTTATTAGGGGTGAATCCATGGCCTCAAGAAACAGGAAGTTCTGGTGTATGAAAAGAGTATTTTCAAAATTGTTCCTGGTGCTCCATCACCTTCAGTTGTGAACAAAGTGATGAAGGCGTTAAAGCAGTCCTTACAAGCTAGGGATAACTGAAGGCTGTAGGAAGTTGTCAGCTGGGTTCTTTAAATTAATTAGTTAAGTTTTCTAACTGAGATCAGCATATCCCAAGGTGCAGTCATGATAGAAATACTGAAACCTCTTCCTGCACAGGACTATCTGGCTCTGCCTGAGAGAAGCTTTACTAGCGTCTAGCTTCTGCCTCCAGCTCAGTCAGACGCCATGGCCTGAGCAGCAAATGCAAGCAAGGTCTGGACTCATTTCTGATCTCTGTCCTCGGGACTTTTTTGGTCCTAGGAGAGCTGGAATCTGGCTGGCAAGGTCTGGTCTGAGTGATGAATTCATCGTTCGCTCTAGAAGTTTGGATGGGAACTAGAGTTGCTTGGTGACTTTGAGGGAAAGTGTGCATTTAGGGGCTGTAATCATTTCAAATATAGCCTTGTAATTGTCATGTGGACACATTTTTCCATTCCTGCCAGCAAACCAGTTCAGCGTAGACTTTTCTGCTTGGATTTTCAGGATTTCAGTTCTCCTCTAAACCAGGGTATTGGTGTGGATCTGGGCTTTGAGAAAGGAATTACTGCTAGCTGCCCATCTCAAACCCTGCTAGGGGATGAGTGTTAGAACTTTCCAGCCATTTGTTTGTGTCCTTGAAAGTTAAGTAGAAAGAGTGAAGTGTGGTAGTTTCTACAGACCCGAAAGTTTGCAACCTGGCCCTTTGAAACCAGGGTGGGGGGTTTGTAAGTGTCAGCCCCAGTGTTTCTTTTGTTCCAAAACAAAACACCCTCCTGCCAGCCCCCTTGGGTGTCATCCAGGGTGGCAGTTAAATTAAAGTAGGGTCATTTGAGATCAAAGTTGCTGCTGCAAACAGCAGTAACAATGAAGGGAAGAGAGGTTTTGTTTCCTTCAAAAAGACTGAAAAAGTGCATTTACCTTACACTCTTTTGAAACTGGATTTCCAGCGGTTTATAGCAGTTCTTTCAAGCTGCAGGAGGAAATTCCAGCTGCTGTGCTCTTACACTGTTAATTTTGTTAAGCCTTTGTCAACCTTTTTTTCTTTTTTTTTTTTTCCTTCTTTTGTAGATTATAGTACCTATAGCCAAGCTGCAGCTCAGCAGGGGTAAGTAGCATTATGGTCTTATCCTCTCTGTTTTAAAAAGATGTCATATAAGTATATAATAATTGTGGTTTAGTCTTAACTCGGGTATGTTTGTAAATCCTATGGTTTTCCTTTAGCTTTTAGATTTTGTATTGCCATAGTATTTCAGCAGAAATCATTTGGATATGTGAAAATTGTCTTGTGATACGTGTTTTGCACCAGTCAGAAATACAGGGATGCATTATAAATGTCTTTAAATTCATTTTACAGCTACAGCGCATATGCACCTCAGCCAGCTCAAGGATATGCACAGACCACCCAGGTAAAACACAGGATGGTTTTATAATTGCTGCTGAATCACGTGTCTTCCAGTAAACTACACGGGGCTCTGCCAGCCACGAAAAATGCTGAGCAGCAACATCAAAATCTGTCATTAAAAGTTGTCTTGTAGCTTCCCACACAGCCCAAACATCTTTCTTAAAGTGAAAACAGCCTAAACGTGAAGGAGCCTCAACAGACCCCTTCTTTGTTAATATATGCAAGCCTAAGGTGGTTGTTGTTGAGATACTATAAAAGCCTAATTCTCAGTGTACGTTTGACACTGCCATGTTGGTGGGTGTTTTACTCAGCAGTGTAGGAGAAAAAAACCTAAAAAAAAAAGGGGGGGAGGAAATTGCCATTTGTGAGATTGCAGCAGTTGGTCAAAGTAGGAGGAGGGAATAGATTTTTTCATGGAGGTATTGTTGCTAAAGCTGTTAATACTCTCAGTTGGCTAGACTGCAAAATGTTGATGATCTTTAAGAGTTGAATTAAACCATGCTTATTTTTAATCCTTAGAACACAAGTTACTAAAAGCATATTTGTATACACACTCCAAGTATGTATGTTTACCGTTTCAGAGGTAAAATTTTGTCCTCAAAAAGTAGCGTAGGTTAATTTTCCTTCACCTCTCCAGAGAGGTTTTTGAAGGGAAAATCCTGCCACCCGAGAGTATGTCTGTATTATGGAGATAAAAACCACCCCATTGTCATTTTGGAGCGTTATTGAGCAGCTTTAAATTGGTTAATTCTGGTTGTGGCAACAGCTTGGCTTTGGTGCTGCAGGGCTGAGCAGGAGCTACCTTCCTGTGCCTGCTCAGGCGACCTGTGCCACGCTGCCTGCTGCTGCCTGTGCTAGCCAGTCCAAGGCAGGTGAGGCTGCTTGAGTACCGCACTCACTTGTTCCTATGGCAGGGTAAGAAGGCCCTTTGTGAAAAATGCCAGTGTTACAGGAGGAGCACAGTTTCAGTCTTGGCATTTGGGTCGGCTTAAATAAAGGTGACGGTAACTTTTATTTTGGATAAGTATTTTGAGATGAACAATTGCAAGAACTGCTCCCAAATGTGCAGGTTACACGGAAGGACAACTGTAAGCAGACTGGCAAGTGTAAGAACAGAAGGCCTCAACAACATCCTCTAGCATGATACTAAAACAACTAACCAACTGAACCCAGCTGTAGGCAAATGGCCATGGGAGGCTGCCTGCCAACATTTCCTGCCTCTTGATGTATGATTCTACAGACAGTGACATATTCAGTCTGGTTCAAGGCTTTTCTAGTCCTGGTTAAGAGCTGTGGCTTGAGTTCAGGGAGGCTGGTTCACGAGTAACACAGGCTTAGATCCCAAAAGGTGTTTAAGTTCCAGGCTCCCACAGGAGTCAGTAAATCCCTTTGAGAATCTGGGCATCAAGGGTGTCTGCGTGTCACTTCTTGAGCTGTAACTAGAGTTTTATCCTAAACCAAACTGCTGACGGCACAAAGCTGTTGGACATTGGTTGGTGCCTGAAGTTTGAGCTGGCTGGTCCATGGCACGGGGCTGAGGTAGCTGTTTAGCTGGTAAAACTGCAGCGCCGGGAGCTCTGCACTAATCCAGCCATGCTGCGCTGACCATCGGATCACCACGGCTGAGGACTTGCTTTGTGGTGCTGTCTTCAGTTTTGAGCCAGACAATGGGCAGAAGCGGTCATTTAGTGATAGTCTAGACTTGAAAATGAGCTCCAGGGAAGGTGCAAGTTGAGAGCTGATCTCTCGCTGAATGCAAATGCACCGGGACCGGAGTAACTGTAACTGGGATAGTTTGGTGATGACACGCCTTTGGATGTTCCTGCTGCTCCCATCCTTGGATGCCTACATAAACTCCTATTTTTCAAACTATTGGCCGATGGACATGAAGGATATTCAGAATAACTTCTTTGAAACCTTAAGTAGGTTTCTTCTAGTGAACGCTAAAGCAGTTTTATGCTGAAGTAACTGACTTGTTTTCCTTTGCACAGTTCTGCCCTCTGAGTAGTCCCACTCCCTGTGTTTCAGGTTAGCCCTCGGGAGGTACCTGTGAGTGTTGATGGGTGCTCAGGCAATTATGAGGAGCTGGATGCTCTCATGTTTTCCTTTATGTAGAGCAGAGGTGTGTTGTGAAAATGTAAGAGGCTGCCCCTCTGGTCCTGGCATTGAAAAACTGCGTTTGTAACTTCATTACAGATCTGAACTGAAATTTGCAGTAGCGCCCAAACTTTCACAGTAATCTTGGCTTGACTCTGATTGCTTTCAGTACATCAGGTAACACAGATCCCCCAGTCTGTGTACATCACTGAAACAGTCTGTGTGTATCTCTGCAACGCCCATGAGTCACTTCTGTTCATGAATTAAATTTGTATCATCTTTGGAGCAGACATATGGGCAACAGAGTTACGGAACCTACGGACAACCCACCGATGTCAGCTACACACAGCCCCAGACAACTGCGACATACGGGCAGACTGCGTACGCAACGTCCTACGGGCAGCCTCCTACCGGTAAGAGCCCCCGTGCCTGCAAGGCTTGACTTATCCAAGGGAGAGGGTTGAGCTCAAGTCTGCATTGGGGAACTCCGGCCGAAACCGTACTAAATTCCTCTGGGCAGCTCTGATGTGGAAAGGGCTTCCTTCCTCAAGAACCTGCCTTGAGCGAAGGGTGGTTTAAAATGATGCGACGATGTGAGTGGGCTGAGAAGGAGTAAACAAACATGCCCGTTTAATTTTTCAGGGCATGTTTTGGGTGCTGGTTCATGCTGTGGGACTAAGCATGGCTGCAGAGTGTACTGTGCTTAGAGCAAAGCAAACATGAGCTGCGCAGCAGCGCTCCCTGGGAGCGTGTACTCTGGCTGCTCTTGAGAACTGGTGTCCTCAGCACTTCGGTTGCCTGAAAATCAAATAAGTGGAAGTGATGGATGCCTGTTCTGATAGTGTACCCTCTACTTTTTGTCTTGTGCTTCCCACAGTAGAAGGAACCAGTACAGGTTTGACTATCCTGCTCACTCTTGCATGGAAAATGCTCTCTCATCCTGTCTAAACTTGTGGTGTTAACCCTTTAGGTGTCACTTGATTTTAGTGCTAAAGATGTCCAGCATCAGAGTGCGCACACACAATGACAGTAAGAATTTGCTAGGCTGCAATGCTGTTTGTCATCTCCACATCTCTGTAAAGTCTCTGAGTGGTGTACTTTATGGATGAAACTTCCTGAGCGCTAATGACAGCCATGCCGAGACGTTTTGGGTGAATCTAACCCCATTGTCCTACCTTTTCCTAAAGGGTAAACAGCATGGTTGGACATATCCAGATGTCCTGACTGCCACCTTTGCATGTTCCATGTTGTCTTTGGATTTCCAGTGCAGACACATATGTCACATGTTCGTTAATGCGCTGTAAACTATTCCAGTGTGTGCTCTTTGAACTGGAGTTTTGTACGTACTAGTGTCTTAATGTCCGAAAGAAACTATTGAGACATAATTCAGTTCTGGTGTATTTGGACTGAATATTCAGGAGATTTTGAAAAAGAAGATGGATTTTTCTCCAAAGTAATGCCTTGGTGCCATTTTCTGCAGATTCATTCTTTGCTATGAGAGACGTTATACATGTCTATTAGAGTGGGAGCTTTCTTAAATCCTTCCCAAAGCAAGGGAATACCAGGACAGACAGGCAGTGGGGTATCTGGCCACAGAAGCCATTGGGGAATGCTTCACAAGGAAGAGGTGGAGAGGAAACGTTGTCCTGTAGTCTATCCAGTTATACAGCACTTAAAATATTGAATATCTTTACATGGATGAGGCAAATTTCTGCCTGGCAGTTAGCGCATGTCCTGCAGAATAAGAGCCAGTACCCTTTAGCCAGTGTTGCGGTGGGTTATCTGCAGGTTCTTTTCCTTTCATTTAAAAGTATATGGACATAAATTGGCAGCAAAAAAAGGATTTGTGGACTTCAAAAATTACTTTCTTAGAAATGTTTGAGTCCATTAATCCTTGCTATGGACTCCAGTCCCGCAGGGGTCACAGGAAGCTGCACTGTTTATGTTTTTGCTTGTCCCTTAAGAGTATATTTGCTGGCGGAATAATAATATTAAGTCACCTTTCCTGCACAGCTGCTTTTTTGTAGGCAAAAAGCTTCTTTTTCTTTTCATCAAAAAAAAAAAAAAGAAAACTCAAAAAGTGGACAAAGAAAAGATCATATCAGACCTTCAAGTACGATTTGCCTCAATCCGCATAGCATTGGTCTGTGGCAGAACTGTTGATGTTATTCTCCAGGCAGAGTGCCAGGTTGTATTTATTCTTCCTACACCTGCCTCTCCTTGAGGAGCCAGAGCTGTGCAAATGAGACTGATAGTGCTTAAAGCCTGTCTCGCTCTCTCGGTCTCTGCCTTTCATACTAAATAAAGCCTGGGGTGTTGCCTGTGGCATACATCTTTATACCCTAAGAGACATGCAGTTTTTACGGTTGAATCTCAATTTTTTTTTACTAGGCATTGCCTTTTTGTAACAGAGGGAGGTCTGCAATTACTTAAAAGCAGAGTGCCTTTTTTTGTCTTACCAGCCTGGTTTTTGGGTAAGATGCTGTTGTGGTCAGGGAAATTCACATCCTGTGCAGATACACCCTCTCGGGACTCTGCAAGAATGGCAGAGACGGTTTCCCTGCATCGCCTCGGAGCCTCAGATGAGGGCTGTTTTAGCCTGCCTGGGGACCTCTCCGTCCCGAGCACTCTGCCATCCAGCCTTGCACTGACTCCTGGGCCGCCCGAGGTGAGAGTTACCACCCAGGTTGTGCTTTTTCCCTCCCCGGAGCTGTAGGAAAAGGTGTCTTGGAGTCATCTTACTGGCTTGCTATGGAGAAGAGGGGTTTGGGAGCCTGTGGGCTCCTGTGCCACTCCCCGGATGGCAACTGGATTAGGAGATTAATCAGCACCATCAGATCTGTGGTCATGGTTTGGTCTTTAATCACCGCGGTGTATAAGCATGAATTACAGGAGTAAATAAAGAGCTGCATCTGCTAGGGTTATTGGCTTTCTAAAAATGTCATCTGGGGGCAAAGACATCATTTCAAGTGTTCAAGTATGAATCTCCTTTAAGTAGCTACACGGGAATTACTCTCTAAAGACAGCTAGCCTCCACTTCTCTTTTTACCTGTGGAATTTAGGGTTATGTATATTTTAAGTTTCTAATGTATTTAGAATTTGAAATGAACACAGCCATAGCTGTCTTGGCTACCACAATAATCTGTTACACCAAAATAGAGCAGAGAGAGGGTAGCGTCTGTGTCCCCTTCTCCAGACCCTCACTGGTAGAAGATATGCAGGCCAGACAGGAGTCAGCTCTCTTTGGGCACTCAGACCCCGTGGGTGCCTTTTAATACTGCTTGCATCAGAGAGAAGCCTTCAAAAACTGATGCTAGGTGACGTGAAGCCTGCTTATTTCAGAATAAATCTCTTTGAATCCAGTATTTTCAGTTGATGTTCTTTGAGGACCAAGCCTCTTCTCTGCCCGAAGAATTCCTAGACTTCAATAAGGGCTTTGCTTGCAGGCTTGGATACTTTGAGAGGAAACTGAGCCACATGACTGGACTTCTTAAGCAGGTTATCAAAGTTCTTCTGTTACCTTTTTCTTACAGTATCTGTTCTGCAGACTCGCCGTTTATCTTACTAACTGGTGGGGGGAGGAGACAGAAGTGATGTAATGTAAATGCCCCCCTCAAAAATACAGCTCTTGAGGATTTTCAGAGTACCTAAACTAACTGTTGAAATGAAAATTTAGACCAGTGGGATGTTAAATCACTGCCTTTTCTTTCTTTGGCACAAACCCTT